ATCCTAAAACTTAATTAAATTTTGGATACGAAAAAATTTTGTCAACAAAAATATATATACATACATTAGTGACAAATCATTTTTGTCCTAAAATCAATTAAATTTTGAATACGAAAAATTTTTGTTGCAAAAATATATTGATGCATTAGTGACGAATCATTTTTGTCCTAAAATTAGTTAATTTTTGGATACAAAAAACTTTTGTCGCACAAAACATATTGACACATTAGTGACGAATCATTTTTTGTCCTAAAATTTATTAAATTTTTTATATGATAAACTTTATCGCAAAAAAATATATTGATAGAGTAGAAACAAAGCATAATTTGTAGTTAATCATGGTATACTTTAACTACAATTTTTTGTATTCAATTGTGACATTAGTTTTCGTCAATAATAGTTCAAACAATTAGTGACACTTGTATTGTTATCTCTATTTACTTACAATTTAGTCACAATGAATGTTTGTCAAAAAAAATTTATATATGTTTGAATGGCGATGACCTAAATTTCATAGTTGAATGGGGCAATTATTAGCTACAAAAAAATTCTTGGTTTTAATTATATAATCACTAATTATAAACACATTGTTAACTAAACAAAAAAATTAGAGAAATTATTTATTAGACCATACTCTAGACAAACAATATAGACTACATCACATAAGAAAAAATATGGTCTAAACACCATTAAGATAGTCTGGATAAAAAAATTACAAACGAAGCTTCCAAAACTATCAAGAGTTTCAACAAATTTTCAAACACTCATACAAATGTAAAATTCATTCGAGCGATTATAGCTAACAAAAGTCAGATGCTCACTTCTAAGTTGTATTACAATAAAATACGATAGAGAACACAAATTTTCATCATGCACTAAAAAAAAGATATTACAAAGTTGTTGACGCCTATTGTAGGAAACTGACCTATGTACTGAAGTCATTGGTTGATTTTAAGGGTCAAACAATATCTAAGAAATTGAAAAATTACTTGCACCTGTGTAAGTGGTTTGATACTGGGCAATATGATTCAAATGAAGTTGTTTCAGCCTTATTAACTGAAAAAGGAAAAGGTTGTCATCTGTATCTAATGCATAACAATAATGAACAAGTTAACACTGATGTATCTTTAAACAACTTCGTCAATCTTGTAAACACGTTGTTAGTTCCTTTTGAGGTACAAATGGTTTTATTGTATTCTAAGTGCTACTTTGGAAATGCTTATCTAATTATAGTGATGTGTTGGCTGATGTACATCATCCAGTATGTAGACAAGATCACTTGCGACATGTACATGATATGCAATAAGTTAATGTTGATTTGTTTCTGCTTGGAAATTCGTAGTCAGCCATACTAAAATGGCGTCAACCTAGTTTATCTACTACTAATATTGAAGGATGGAAGAAAAAGGTGGAAGAATATCTCTTAGAGCTTGAAAATGGACTACAATATCTCAACTTAATAGAAGAGTCTAAGTATAAAGATGAAAATGCATACTATGTGATCGTTGTGGATAGGCTTGGTCGATCACGTCTGGTGCAAATTATTCTGGGTGCAAATTCACATATTTCTATATTGCTCTTATCGGTGGAAGATGATGATTCTCATTTCTATATTATTATGACTGAAAATAGATGCGAAGAAATTGCTATGAATTGCTTACTTGCTATTAACAATACTGAGCAGATACTACTACAATTTATGCATTACTCGAACCTTGAGGACTAGGTTCTTTTTGAGGCGTGGAATATTGTTGTGAACGCGTATGGTCCAGAGGTTGGCCGAACTGTTGTGCCGGGGGACAAACTACAAAGAGGTCCAAGAATTAGACAGCCCAATACTAGATTAGTGTGGTTTACTGAATCTTACTAGCCTAACATTGTGGAATAAGGGTGCATTGCTACAAAGTGTTGGGACTATGCCAACAAGCATGATCGACTAAGATTAGATGGGTTTACTCATACTATATCAAAAATCAAGTTATCCTCACAATGCCCATCCCTAAGTAGGCAATTGAGATGGTCAAACAAATTATTGGTACCGGAAGATACTCAAAGATGTCTTTTTCTTAACATGAAAGCCATTGAACATTTGTATGAGCAGTTGTAGGTGACTTTGTTTTGTCAATATACGACATAAGCTACAAAAATTGACTCTAAGAAGTGGAAAATGTTGTTACATATTTCATATAATCATTTTTTCATGATAACTCGTATTAGTTAGACTTGTTTTATTTTTTACCAGCTCTCCGTTGCTCGTTATGACATAAAAAAATAGGTGTCTAAAGGTACTTGTTCTGTCAATATGTATAATTTGAATCTTTTTTCTTAATGAATAGGTGCTGTGATTTATACTTTAGAATTCAATGTCATTTTATGTAATTCATGAAACTTATAATCAACGAATGATTTAAATGATCAAAATAAATGTTATTAGCTCTCCTATATTCTCTTTGTTTCTCGATAAATTTCTTGACCTTGTTGTCTCTTAAGATACAACAAAATAAAGCAAAATTCCCAATGTTCCAGTCTTCATCTTGTTCCTTACTGCCATATGTACTATTTCTTTTTAGATTTTAAGTGGTGTTTCTAACTGACTCTTTTTCATCAGATGATTTCACTAGACTTAAGAAAGGTCGTGGCAAAACTAGAGGGAAAGGTCTTGAAAAAATGAAGAAGACTTTGGGAAGCAAGATGAAAATATAAATTCCACTGGGCAAAGGAAGGCCAACTAAATCAGATCAATCAGCAAAACTATCCAATGAGTTAGGGATAATTGCCCGAAACTTTCTATTGCTTCCAAACAAGTGGAAGGAACTCACAAGAGAGGACAAAGATGCAGCACTAATTAGATGTCACGTAAGGATTTTGTACTCTAGTAAATTTATTACATGGTAGTGATTATACTAAGGCCTTTCTGATACTACTATTACTCATCCATCTATTTTTTTGGCAAACTCTTCGATTATATCTATATCTGTTGATATCTAGTAGTAGTTCACCATTGATCTCTTTCTCTTTATTCTGTGAGATTCATATTTTCTTTTAACTTTAAAAGAATAGGAATCTTATTACCAATAGTTAATAAACTAGAAAACAAACAACTAGTACATCAGCTCAACTAATTGCTACTAAAACAACTACTAGGGACATACATTCATCTCTTCAAGCTTCCTTCCTAAACTATTTCTCAGGGATCCTCTAAAGAAGATGGAAACTTGTGGTCAGTATTTTCAACCGTTAATAAACTAGAAAAAAAAACTAGTACATCAGCTCAACTAATTGCTACTAAAACAACTACTAGGGACATACATTCATCTCTTCAAGCTTCCTTCCTAAATTATTTCTCAGGGATCCTCTAAAGAAGATGGAAACTTGTGGTCAGTATTTTCAACCGTTAATAAACTAGAAAAAAAAAGTAGTACATCAGCTCAACTAATTACTACAAAAACAACAACTAGGGGCATACTGATTGCTACTAAAACAAACAACTAGTACATCAGCTCAACTAATTGCTAGTAAAACAACAACCAGTGGTATACATTCATCTCTTCAAGCTTCCTTCCTAAATTATTTCTCAGGGATCCTCTAAAGAAGATAGAAACTTGTGGATCAGTATTTTCAACATGAATGCAAGCTTATGCTGCCAGGGACATTTTGTAAACTACTACAATAAACCTTTGCCTTTAACTTGTTCCTACTCCAACTTTTCAGCCCATTTAAATGCTTTTCTAGGTACTCCTTGTTAGTGTAAAAGTTTACTACATATGGCTCTAGAGTACTCACATATGAACTGTAATTATTATTATCTTTTGATAAAGTAGGAGATCGTATAAATGATATCAAGAAGATGCTTGTAAATCAGTAGTTTCTAAAGAAGATGGAAATTTGTGGATTGGTATTTTCAACCTGGATCACAAATTTATTCATCTTAATCGCAATATTTTAAGCTTATGTTGCCAAGGACATTCTGTAAACTACAACAGCAGAGTTTTTGCCTTTAGCTTATGCCTACTCCAACTATTCATCCCATTTAAATGCTTTTTAGGAACTCCTTTTTAGTGTAAAAGCTTACTCCATATGACTCTAGAATACTCACATATGAACTGTAATTATTATTATCTTTTGATAAAGTAGGAGATCGTATAAATGATATCAAGAAGATGCTTGTAAATCAGTAGTTTCTAAAGAAGATGGAAATTTGTGGATCGGTATTTTTAACTTGGATCACAAATTTATTCATCTTAATCGCAATATTTTAAGCTTATGTTGCCAAGGACATTCTGTAAACTACAACAGCAGAGTTTTTGCCTTTAGCTTATGCCTACTCCAACTATTCATCCCATTTAAATGCTTTTTAGGAACTCCTTTTTAGTGTAAAAGCTTACTCCATATGACTCTAGAATACTCACATATGAACTGTAATTATTATTATTTTTTGATAAAGTAAGAGATCATATAAATGATATCAAGAAGATGCTTGTGGATCAATAGTTTCTAAAGAAGATGGAAACTTGTGGATCAATATTTTCAGCCTGGATCACAATTTTCTTCATCTCAATCAAAATACTGTAAGCTTATGCGGCCAAGGACATTCTGTAACTAAAGCAGTAGAGCTTTTGCCTTTAGCTTGTGCCTACTCCAACTCTTCAGCCCATTTAAATATTCTTCTAGGTTCTCCTTGTTAATGTAACAGCTTACTCCATATGGCTCTAGAGTACTCACATATGAACTATAATTATTATTACTTTTGATAAACTAAGAGATTGTATAAATGATATCAAGAAGATGCAGCTTAGATAGTTAAAAAAACAGTGAGATTGAAGTTAATTACGATGCTAGGAGATGTGATGATTTTTATTTTAATATAACAGGGATTTTGATCATTTTTTGTGTCTTCAAAATTTATTTGATTTTTTTAGGAGAGGTTTGAGATTAATTTGGATGAGCATTACGTGAAAGATAGTTGCGAGGATATCCTGAAAAAATAGAAGCAGACAGTGGCGTTACAAGTTAAAACGACTATTTGAAAGTGCACACTCCGAGGGAGAAGCTCGTAAAATTGAAGTGCCAGAGTTGACCCCCAAAAATTGGAATAGGCTTTGTGACATGTGGATCAATCCACATCATAAGGTAATTTAGATTCATTTTATTGTCTTTGTTTTTAAAGTTACAATATTTCTATTTTTTTGTAGAAACGATGCGACATAAACAAGGTCAATAGAACTAAGCTTAAATCTAATCATTTCATGGGGTCAAAAGCGTTTGTAGCGGCTCGTGCTGAAATGGTAAGTTATACCCTTTTTATTCTTTTAACTAATAAAAATTTAGTACTATTTCAATTATTTTCTTATTATACAGGGTGGGACTAAACCTAAAGGAGTAGAGCCTGATAGAATCGAGTTTTACAAGCATACTCATTACACTAGTGAAAAAGGATGGTCTTCTCTAGAGGCTGAGACTCATTATGTAAGAAAATTAATATTTATACTTCATATACACATTGCATTTGTCTGATTAATATTCTTCAGAAGTTGTTCCTTCTCCTTTAAATAGTATTCTTATTTTTATGTAGAACAACATGATTGATTTGAAAGATATATATACTTCGGGAGAGTCTTCCATGACTATTGATGAAATTGTGGATACTGTTCTTTGTACAAAGTCGGGATATATAAAAGGCCTTGGTTATGGTCCAAAACCTAATACTACAACAGCTACACAAAGGAGAACGGCTGAGTTAGAAGACTCTCTCGAAAAGGCGAAACAAGAAGCTGCTAGTGCCCAACATGACTTACAGAAACGATTAAATGCAGCTGAAACTGAGGTAGAAAACCAACAGTCTCAGATACAAGACAAGCAATCTCAGATTCAAGAACAACAGTCACAAATAAAAGCATTAAATTCTCAGTTGGAGACTGTAGTAGCACGCTAAGAAGACATGTTTAGGAAGATACAACTCTTTGCTCGCTCATCGCCATCAAGGTTAGAAGTAATGCAAACTTTTATGATATTTTCTATTTGATTTTTTTTAATAAATATATAAATATGTAACATTTAGTTTCTAACTTTCCATATAATTTTTTATGATGCAGCTCTCCATCAGAAGGTAGACTTAAGGTATATTTCTATTTTTATTTTGCTAACTCAAACTTCATGTTTAATAAGTTGTAGTCTATACAAATTCATTATATCATGATGTACAAGTTAATACCTTACCTAAAACAGATCAATATTAAACATGCCCAATACTTTAAATTTCAGTTGTTTCTAATGTTACTGGAAAAAGTGAAGAAAATGATATAGTACATTATAGAGGGAAGCATTGCTAGTAGCTAGAGATTAAAAGGAGATTTCCTTCTTATTACAAAATTTTGTAGCTTTTAAGACCATGTGAGTAGGATATGAACATTATAGAGTTACAATTGCTATCCTTATCAGTCTCTTACTCCTTGCTGCTAGTGTATTTGTTCATTGAGTGATGGTTTGGTATGCTTTTACTTAATTTTTGATAGCAAATTTTGGTAATATGAGGCAACTAGTTTGATAGGTATTCAAGAAAATGAAGTTTGACATAAAGTGGGGGTGTCTCAGTATGTATATGATGTAGTAGTTGTAAACAACTCATATTAGAACAACCAATTCCTTGAAACCAAATATTGCAAGTGTCACAATAGTCCCTTATTTTCAAGCCCCCTTGCAGCTTTGGTCTAACCATATTAGATCATTGAACTAGGAAAAACTTGTGTGCTTTACTGTTACCCTCCAAAGGAAGGTCCTGGAAATTGTTGTTAGAGTTCTTAGTAGTAAAAAAAATCATGTTTAGACTTGGTTGTTACTTTTGAGATCTCTTATTATCCATGATAGTATTCATTAATCTCTTAATTTGAATGTTGTTATTGTTATAGTTTATATTACTCCTTGGAGTTGTGTTGGAGGTCTGTTACTTTGTAAAGGTAAAGTTAATTAGTACATTACTAGATGATGTGGTAGTCAACACCTTGAGGAGAGTAGGAGATCAAAAGAAATATAATGTATCTTTTTTTTGGTAACAATCTAAACATTACCATTACTAAAACAAAAACATACACCTAAAGAGCTCTTGAGCACAACAACTGCATCTCAACCTCTAACAAGACACAAAACTAGTTACACTTTCAGCCTTTGAAGAAAAACACTACATCTGCAAGCTCTCTTTGATGAACTAAGTATGTCTATTCTATGTAAAATCTCCCTCTTAATTTGTGTGTGTATCTCAGTTGTATATGTACTCTTTTGAAAAAAAATTAGTTCTGGGATCTCCGAGTATGGTAGATCATTGCCCCCCAACTCGCAGCTATCACTTGTTTCTGAGACTGCTTCCATTTCTTCCTTTTAATTTTCAGCATTACTTCCTTCACCTCCCCCAGTTGTATAGGCAAGCATGTCCATTGTTCAACACCCCTGTTGACCTCAGTGATCCATGGGCATTCACTGAACAAGTGTTTGACTGTCTCCAGCTTTTGAGCATCACATAAACAACAATTAACTTCCTCCAATGAGATGTTCATCTTCATCAGCCTTTCCTTAGTTAGCAATCTTTCTTGGACAGCTTACCATAGAATAAATCTATGTTTCAGTTGAGCCATTGCACTCCAAATGCATTCGGCAATATGTGAATTGTTGTGGTGCCCTCTAATATCAATATAGCTCCTCGTGATTGACTATTCACCTCCCTTAGTCAGCCTGTACCTATCTTGCATATACCAACGTCGCTTTTTTTCTTTCATGATGTGAATCTTTCTCCAGTACCAGCTGCTATCTACAGAAGCTTTCTAGTTATGCATGATAGAAGGTGATTCTTTTTACTGTTGAATTACAAGTAGTTATAAGCAGATTTACTTAGTAACTTAACTGAGCAAGAGATTAACTAATGAGTTTAGTTGCTTAAATACTTCATATAGTTTGTAAAGAGGTTAGGTCTTAGTCTTAGACTAAAATAGGAAATTTTATTGAAGCAAATGCTTTGCAGGAACATATATAGGGTTGAGTAACTTGGTACAAAGAATGCAAAAAAATTTGATTGCTTATATCATAATAGAACTACTATGCTTGGTAAGTAGGGTAAACCATGAGGGCAAAGCCTCACTTGTACTAATTGTTAACTAAAATAAAATGAATTACTAATATTTACAATATTGGATAGGAGCTATGGAAGATAT